CCTCCAGAAGGAAGGACAGTGTCAGCACCAATTCAGAGATGATTTGAGGATCTACAGCTGAGTGATACACAAATAAAGTACATTTTTGTTAATAGTTAAGGTATTTCAATGCATTTTAAAGATTTAACTACAGAGTTTAGTGTCACTTTAAAGGATAACTCCTCCTCTACCCAGCATGCCTCAGTTTGTACCAAGCAGTACCAAAAGCATGATCATAAACACAGAGGTGTGGTAAATGTGTCCCTCAATGGACTCCAAGAAAAATAATTTACAGTGAGTACATGAATCCTATTTTATTTTTCGTCCATTGTGGGACACAAGAATTCAAATACTGTTGGGACATCCAGAAGCAGTTCATCTGAGGGGTGAGCAACTCAGCAACAACCACTAACATGCCCAATAAAAAACGAACTGGGGACTGCCTGTGGCCCAAGAGTCATCTTAGGGACCATAGGTGTGCGCAGGAGAAGTGCTAGGTGTGCCTGGGCACACCCAAATCACCCTGAGCACAACACCGAAACCGCAATAGCGGGTGGATTGTTTTTAGTCACTGAGCCAGTGGAGAGATCACAAAGAGCTTTCTGTGACCGGCTCAGCGATACAGAGCGCAGTAGCACTTGCCACTTACAATCCTCACATAACAGCTGCAGTCTCCGTGCCTGGGAAGCTGCAAGGGAGCATGGCTTTGGCTTCCCATCCAATCAGGCTACCTGCTGGAAAAGGGACAGTTGAAGAGATGGGAATTGGGAATGATCCAGGTCTATGTAGGTACAGTATGTATATAATAAATATATATATCTATATCTATAGATATATAGGGATGTGTGTTTGTTCTTTTGTGTGCACACCCTAATGTAGTAGGCTGCGCATGTCTATGTCAGGGACCAATGCTCAAAGCTGAAAATTAATGAGTGTCCTACTTGATAGGGGAATCTGCTAACACAAAAAGAGGGAGAGCACAGAGAATCAACCTGATGCTCAAGGCCAGAATTGAACACCAGAAGGGAATGACTCAACACAAAAGGGAACACCAACCTGAACTAGCGAGAAGTTAAATAACTAGAACCCACCAATACTATTTCACATGTAGGGAAGAAAAGACCCACAACTTGATGTGGTCAACAAGAAAATGGGATCAAGACCCTAGATGGAACAATTTATCAAGGTGAGAAGACCAGCTAGTCTGCTTCAGCACCTTGATCCCCAAGGATTAAGGGACCAAAGAGGGTATCTGGCCTTAAATTAAACATCGCATTGCAAAGACTTATGAGGGAGAACCCTGAGTTAGCAAGAATATAATAGACTACAAGGAGTGCGCAGAGACTCCTCAGTCCAACAGGAATTCTCTTTTCCATGAAGTCAGCATGACTGAAGGGGTAGAGTACCTGCTTCTAGGAGAAGATGGGAGCCGGACTAAAGCCTCAGACTTGTGAGATGAAAACAGATAAAGCATACTCAAGTAATACATCCTCTCTGGTACACAAAAGTGGCATTTGGGGCAAATCCAGAAGAATCCAGCTGAAAGAACAATTCTGTGTATACCTGACTGTCTAGGAATGCTCCTAGTCCCCCAGATCCAGCAAAGCATTAGCATCCATGAAGTGAGTAACAGGAATCTCAGCAGAATGGCAAAAAACATCCACCTAATTGAAAGCCAAATAAATGAGTGCACCCAAAAGGGCCTTCATCACCCAAGGAAAGAGAACCTAACCCCAAGTGGACTGGTCCCCCAAAGTTGTCAAGGCATACCCTCTTCCTGTCATTGGATATCTACAGTAGAAGACTACAGTGTTCTGCTTGCCAACAGCCCAGTGAGACATGAGGCCCTCCTTTGACAACCTTCACCTGCAACGCAAGATAAGAGGCACATCTAAATGTAATATTGTGGACCTTTCCAGTGAGGTCACAGGCAATTTCAGGTAGGCAATTTCCAGTGCTGAAACCTGACAAGGACAGGTCCAACTAGATCTTGTAGGCATTAAGCTCTTTGGGGAGATGTTGTCCACTAAGATCCACAATGTCTACTATCTTTATCAAGGTAGTCGGAGTGTCCCACAATGGGGATGGCAGGAAAAGACACTATGTCAAACATAGGAGTTATTACTCCAAAAAAAATCAAGTGTGCAAGGGTGACACTGAATATTCAGATCCCTTTCCGGGTGAGGGAGAGTCATAGTTAGCTCCAGTTGACTTAGTAGGTCAGAGGGTCTCTCTCTGGACAGTGGGGGTACCAGAAACCACTGAGGGTCCTATAAGCCCCAAAGGAAGTGAAGTTCTCTGAGGAAGAGAGTGGTGGCCCAAATGGGGCCCAGCTCCACAGGCTGACAGTGACTGGAGCAAAGGGTTCAGGGGTGAAAGTAACCCAAAGGGGTCAGAAATCGTGCATCAATCTGTGTTGTCGCACAGGGAAGAAAAGAAGGAGCAGCTGAAGAGGGTGCCAGAGGCAAGGGATTAGCCTGCGAGCCTAAAGGGGAACTCTCTGCACCTGAATGCTGGAAGAGCAAGCTACCTGTGGACCTACAAGGATTCACAAACAGCCCTCCACATGTAGAACTGGGGGGCACATCTTCATGAAAAAGTTCTTTCAGAGGGCTTACTGACATATTGAGATTTTACTGACTGTTAGCCTTATGGGCTGTCTTAAAGTCAGGCTCTGAGGGTCAGGGAGCATCTACTAAAAGAGTACATAAAGGAGAAGAATAGGACTGAGCCAACCTTTCCTTGGACATCTTATGTTGAGGCAGGTGTGTGCTCTGGCCTCCCATAGTATCCTTGATGATGACATCAGGAGTAGAACTAAAGAGACAAGGTCCCTCGAAGGCCACACTCTTTATATATGGTACCAGCGTCTCAGTACCTTAACCAGAGTGCTCTGGGCAAACTTAGACGTTTCTAGTAAGCCATCACAACTGAAGACAAAAGTCCAGACATCTGTTCCACCTGCTTTATTACAAAGATGTCAGCCTTTTTTGGGATTTAGCCCATTCTGCCACAGTTTGACAGACATTGGTCACAGCCAATACAAGGTGGAGGGAAGACCTTGCCAGAGAAAACTGGGATTGAAGGAGGGATTCCAACTGCTGGTTTGTAGGATTCTTAAAGGAGAACTATGAGGTGAGTGCTTTTCATTCACCTCATAGTTCTAGCCGACCTGTGACAATGAGACTGTCACAGGTCGGCTCAGTAGATCGGGAGGTGAGCAAACACATACCGGGTTCGCTCGCCTCTCGATCCTGTCACGGCTCTCTGCCGTGACAGGGGGAGGGGCTGGATTCCCCTCTCCCCGCTCCGATCTGCCAGCGCTGACTGGCGGAACGGACGGGTGAGGGGGCGGGTACAGCTGGCTCTGCCTCTAGATAGGCAGAGCCAGCTGTCACTCACGCAGCTGGGTGGATCCCGTCATCTAAGTCGGGATCCGCTCCGGCTGCGGCGTCTCAGTATACCGCGAGCTGTAGCTTGCGGTATACTGAGCTTAGGGTAACGGGAGGACGCTAGTTTGTGTCCTCCCGTTACCCTAAGGAGAACTATGGGGAAAAACAATGACCCCATAGTTCTCCTTTTAAATTCTAGACCCTAGAGGTTTAGTGAATTTTTTTTTCCTTTTAAGGTGGATCACTGTAACAGTGGGTATAGACTACCATTTAACTCTCAATTCAACTCCTCTGAAAAGAGAGCAGTCTTAGGGGGTGCCCAGGACCCCTCAGGGTCAGTTCGCATGGAGGAAATCCTTGAATGTAGTACAAAGGTCTTTGCAGCTGTAGGAGCTCTGAAAGACCCAAGGCTGGAGAGAGCAGGCTGATTTTCCAAATGCAGGGTACTGTGCACTGCATTAATAAGGGCCAAAGGGCTAAGGGTGATGGCAGGAGACTACAGTGCCTCAATAACAGTCTAGCAAGTGCAAATGTTGGTCTGTCCTGTTCTCTGCAGACTGCTACTCTGCAGACAGAATTGGGCAAATTTGGCCACAAAGTCTTAAGTGATTGCACCAGAAGCCCCAGATGACAAGGTGAGGGACTCAGCCTCACCCAACAGAGCTAAGGGAGACTCCAATGAGGTAGGCCAGAAAAACAATAGGGTCACTGGATTCCAGATTGCAGACATTAGTGCCCCTTAAGAATTACAGAATACATATCCCCAGAACTGTTGGCAGAGTGATCTGGGGCCAGACATGGCAGCAGGACTGACCCCTCTCTAGATCCAGACATGTTGCAGGTGCCTGGCAGTAGTGCAACTAGGCCCAAGGTATGAGGCAAGGCCTCCAGTACTCACAAACCCAGGCTGCTGGTGGCTGATCAGGGTCAGAGGGCCGATGGTGACCAGGTCACTGTAGGTGGACAGTGGGAACGGATCAGAAATCAGAGTTCCACTTGGTGCTTTTGCAAAGCAGGAGCAGCAGCTGGATGATGCTGAATGAAGGTAAAGAGGATGATTTTCACGCTTAGCATCAGCATTAACCCTTTATGCAGGAAAAACAGCAGAAGGAAATCTGAACAGCACCCAACGATGCAAGTAATAAGGTAGCTCCCAGTGCTCAGCCTGAACAACCACCACCACACAGATAACTGTCTGGATTGACCAACATCTCCTGTCTCCTCAACAGGAAATGCTGACAAAGTAGCAGTCAGCACTTCCTGATGAATTAGGGAACACAGAAGCCAGGGACAGCAGAAAAAAAAGAATTTGTGCCTGGAGAACAGCTTTTGTCTTGAGTTCTTTAAGTTAATGGCTGCATATGCACCGAACAAAATGATGTAAATGCTGCTTCCGGTTAGATGACACAATTATAGAAACCACTTTCACATCCAACAGAACATTACAAACTACATTGGGCAGACTGCAATTTTATTTTTTATTGTCTTTCTATTAAAGCGTAGGTGTGCTTCATCCATATATACCGAAGAAAATTCAAAGTGCCTATATTGCAATGATTGCATGTTTTATCTGCTCATAGTACAGCACTGTGGAATATATAATTGCAGAAAATAACTGACGATTATTACCTTTCCCGACAATTGGATTCTCTTGATCCTCCTCCGAAACATCCACATCCTCAATGATGATTCTTCGTCCTTTCTTTGTTTTTTCTTCTTCCTCTTTGTGCAGCAGCTCTTCAACTTCACACAGAGCTTTCTAGGAAGGAAAGATAAGCAGGGAACTGATGGGGTCAAATAGCCATGAGTATGGGCTATCACAGCACTTTACAGCCCATATGGTATATTCTAAAATCAATCATTTTATTTATTTGATTTAGCAGATTTACTCAAACTGGAGAAAAGAAATGTGAGCACACAATTGAAATTGTTATCTATATTGACCAATCAAAGTTTCTATTTAAAGCAGAACTCCAGTCAAACAGCTAAATACGCAGTTGAAATGCATACATGGGAAACATTCTATCTGCCAAAGGATTCATATTTCTCTCCATTCAGCCCTGAGGTTAACACAGCCGCCTCATACAGCACAGCCAGGAGAATGACAACTTACACTTAGAAATACAGAAATGTATTTTTGCCACGTTAGCTAGCTGAGTGTACAGTAAAAAGGCAGCAGCAGGCTGATGAGGTCACCTCTCTGCTGTCTCCCCATATCAGCATGCTTCTTGTCATTACATTTGAACGCAGCACACGAATGGCTTTTAGTCCCGCTCTTCCCTCTCCGAGTCTAAGTGCTGCTGTACAGGGGACTGCAAGAGGCTGATACCAATTTAAATTTAGGTACTTACACTAGTTGCATTTATAAAATGATTTATTAAATATTACAGCGTTATCTCCGTGTCCCCCTGTGAGCACTAAACACTACATAGGGCATTTTTATCAGAATAAATATTTTACTGATCTACCTACAGTAAAGTAAAACTACCCTCAGTTAACTGTCAGACCTAATGTCAAATAAACAGTAAATCAGCAACTCACAATCATTAAATGATACCTATATTGTTACCAAAATAATCCTTTACCTTCGCTAGGGGGTTGTCTGGTTCCTGATGTAAGACAGTCTTCAGATCATTTAAGGCAGCCTGATAATTATGGAGGTTTTTGTTGACCGTAGCCCGACGCAAGAGAGCTGGAGAGGTATAATAAATATAGATTACTATTTCAAAAAATACTTTTAATCATTGTAGGCCCTGTGCTTGTATGGGTTTCCTCTAGGTACTATGGTTTCCTTCCACACTCCAAAGATACGCTGGTAGGTCAATTGACTGCTGTCTAATATTGGTCCTAGTATGATATTCTACTCAGTGTGCCCAGGATGGCTATCTCACCTCCTATCTGCTCCAACCCTAATTTGGAAAGCACATTGAGTCCCCTGGAAGATAAGTGCTATAGAAATATACATTTATTAATTAAAAAAGCAGCTTAGAAGGGTGGAGTTATGTAGTATGGGAAGTTGCATTTTGTTTCTTTAACTTGTAAGCCTTAAAGCACAAAATAAAATATATTTTAATTTCAATGATAAATGTATACCGGTAATTATTTTATAAGGTGTTGGGGGCTGAGCAATCACAACGATCAGAGTCATAGCATATGAAGCTGTGAGCATGTGAAGATGCCATGGCAGGGGAGTATTACTGAAATTCAACCATGGTTTGGAATTTAAAAGCCGCAGGGCCGAAACAAAACTAAACTAAAGTGCTCCCTCTAGTGCCTGAAATCTATCACTACTTCAAGATAACAAAGCATATCTAACATGAGAACTTTTCATTTTAGTAGGGAATGGTTACTTAAAACCCCTAAAAGTTACATCAGCATCCCATTTAGGAGATTTTCCTTTACTTCCTGCCTGTAGATCCAACAGGAGGCAAGGGGAAATATTTTCAAAGTGAGATAAATCGCCTCTTAGACAGATGTCACTGGAACAAGTTTCCTTTTTGAATTTATTTATATCTCTATAGCACTTTTCTCTCTGGGGACTCAAAGCACTTTATCTGCTGTTGGGGAAGATGATGAGGCAGCCATCTTGGGCACGCTCAGTAGAAAATAGTAGGTTCATTTTATAGTAAGTTCATTTCATACGGGAGGCAATTAATCTTCCAGCATGTCGTCGGTGTTTTTCGGAGGAACTCCACAGAAGCACAGGGAGAACATGCAAACTCTATGCAAATAGTGTCCTGAGTAAACCTGCATTCGAAGCGAGGACTCCATTGCTGTAAGGCAGAAGTGCGAAAGACGAAGGGTTCCTATACAGGTTATGAGCTAACCATACCATCTCTGTACAATCAACTTTACATCTACCAAAACTATGTAATATGAGGACCTACCTAAATTATTAAATTAATTTATATCAAGCAGGCTCTTGTGCTATATATTGGTTGCTAGATCTAAAGGAGATTATAACATGTATGATCAGTTTACAGGAGAAGTATTGTGAGAGTAAATTGTACTCTTCCCAATACTTAGAGCCGGCATGTAACACTGCAGATATCACATGTCGGCTCTATAGATCGAGAAATGAGTGATCACGAACTGCTGATCACACAGCTCATGGCTTCTCCCTGCAGAGAGGAGTGACTGTCAGTCACCGCTCCCCACAGGGGTTCCTCTCTCCTCTCTCTGTTCCTCCAGCGCTCATTGAAGGGACAGACAGTGGAGGGGGCGGGTACAGCTAGCTCTGGCTCTAGAGAGGAAGCTGTCAATCAGGCAACAGTGTGGTTCCCGACAATATTGTCAGGATCTTTCCTGGCTGCAGCGGGCCTCTGTGCTGTCAGCAAATAGCAGGCAGTAGCCCGCTATATGCTGAGTTTGTACTCCTGTGACCCAAAAGAGAACTATAGCCAAAAAAACAGGTTTGGATTTAGCTCTCTTTTAAGAGCATGTTCGGGTGACCGAAGGCAGACCAAAGTAGCCAATGTACGGCTGATTTTAGCCGATGTACGGTTGAAGTCAGCTGTACAAGGCTGAAGTGAATAGCCGAACAGTGTTCGGCTCACTTCACTTCGGCTGGGTTATTCACTCGGCTGCCTTCGGCAGCTTTGTAAATGACCCCCATGGTCTTTTTTTATTGAGGTTTGCGTCTTCAGTCCTAATGGCACCAATCTCTGAAACAGGAAGCTTCTCATCCAAAGTGGCTATAGAACACAATCAAAATCTAACAGAGGTTTTAACCTTTCTCTTTCTAGAGCTAAAAAAAATTAAAGTTCTGGCTGGAGTTCCAAAATCTGTGTGGCCCAAAGGAGCTAATCAGATTCACCTCATTGTTCTTCCAGAATGAGCAAATTAGATTGTTTGCTATGAGCAAGGACGACGACTCTGCTCTCATACATTGATAATTGGGGCTGTGTGTCTATATCTGGAACTCTGCATGGTGAGCAAGGGGTATGGCAAAAGAGGTCTGACCAAGATTGATGCTCTAAGAGCTCATTAAGGAAAAGTGCTTTAATGAAGTCAAAAATAGATGGGATAGATTTCAGTTCAAGTCTAACAGAGAGCCAGAGCCAGAGCCAGACAAGAGTGAATTTGATTATTTATAACTTCATTCGATTACACAATAAAGGAATGCATGAGGAATGCAGGAACAAAAGAATAAACAAGGACACACTGTTTCAAATAAAAGATACTATTAATTGTTAGAAAGTATTTTTAAAACCTGTTTCTGTCAAGTAATTAAGTCAAGGAAATGCATCCATATCATGGCTAGAGTGTGGCACATAAGCATCGGTACACTGACAGGGAACACATTGCAACAACACTAGGACAGAAAAAGTTATTCTTCTAGGGAAGGCAACATTTGTGAGACTCACAACGTTTGCGGCCGCCCGAGATTTTTCAGATTTTCGGATGGGAGCGTGCGTGGAAGACACAGGAAGTATTAACCCTTTTCAAAGCGGTTTTGTTTTTTTTAAACTTTTTGCATATATCTACTGCTTGTTAGCAGTAGATATATGCAAAAAAAAAACAAAAAAACGGAGGCTTTAATTATACTTTAATTAAGCATGCTCATATTTTTGTAACATTCATGATGTACACAGTACTCATGACGTGCAGGCTAGATCTGTTAAAGGGCCAATCCACCAAAAACGTACATTACATTTTATGCAGATGCTGGAGAGGTAAACCATGTGACAGTTTCTTAAAGTGTCTTTCCTCATTTGTAGTCAAAGTTGAGAAGACCCAGCTATATGTTTGTTATGTGTTCCCCTTGACACGGCATAAAATTCTTACTTTTTAGAGGTCTCTGTGTATCGGCCTTTGCTAGCTTCTCAATTTCCAAGTGACAGGAAACTCTGTCTGTCCCCATAGAAAGACCAGGGACAGATTGAGCTTCCTCTCATTGCCATACAATGCTTCTTGATCTTTGATCTTTTGTTCCCACTCAAGGAAATCCTCACTTTTTTGCTAGTGTAGGACAGACCGTGTTCACATCTAGTTCACAACTGATAATTAGATCTGCCAGTATAGTACAGACAAAGTTAATTACCCTGCCAATCTCCCCTTCATTCCAGAGGAGAACAACTTTTCTTTTAGAAAAAGGCATGCATTGTGCAAACAACAGTTTAAGAACATTTTAGATTATGCTGTGTGAATGAGAAACATGTAAGAAATATAAAGAAGGCGCTATCCCAATTTGGCTGCAAAAGTGAAAATACAATTTAAATCTCTTTATATTATACTTCTATTGGTGAGATCTCTGAACTTGAGGTCCTGAGTCTGCACACCTGCTGTGGTTTTCTATGAGGAGGTCCCACTCTCCTTGCTGTGCTACAGCATCTATAGGAGGAGTGGGAACACCCAAAAATCTCAGGTGGACAGAGTCTAGGAATATAGCAGGCAGATGTTATTATTGGCGAGTCCACCAGGCTCCATCTTTAGCATAAATATCTCTTTTCGGTAGACAGACCATTTCATAATGCATCTTCATTTTGCTCTTCTATTAAAAATTAGGCTATTGTTCTTCCAGATCTGTGTAGTAATCTATTAATATGATTACTATTTGTGTAGAAATCATCTTTTTGCCCTTTACCTTTCATGTTGTTGGGCTCTAAATCCAGTACTCGCTCACAGTCATTGAAAGCATTCTGCCAGTTCTTCAGTTTAATCTCAGCTTGTGCTCTGTTATTATAAGCGGCTGTGGAGGGTAACACAGATAAGCTCCTACAATAGAAACATAAAAAAGTACAAATATGCAGTTATAATAGGATATGTTTTTAACTCACAAATTTGATATTACAAAGGCTAACTTTGAAGATTTAAAACAGAATGATTTTCATACATATTGGATCCTCCAGTGAGTAAACTCCAGGCAAACATGACGTCATCATCTCCTAAACCTTACACGCACGCACGCACACTATATATATGTATTTATTTATTAATCTGCTGTCTTACCTGCTGTAATATGATATGGCCTCCTCATAGTCTCCACTTCTAAAGGCCTCATTTCCTTTCTCCTTCTCTCTTTGTGCAAGAAGACTCTTCTGCTCCATGCTCAGCCCTGGAAGGGAGTCTCACAATTACACACAGATGCACAATATGTGTAAATGGCTGATGTGCAAACACAACATATTTACAATATACAATTGTATGTAAATCAAGTTAACTAATGGTAAACATGATGACACACTACAGAGGCCAGGTCTGGATGATCAGCAGTACGGTTACCTGGCACATCTATTGATTTCTTTATTGCTGCAGCTGTTGTATTTATTACAGTCTTGGACTGGTCACTTTTCTCAGCAGTCTCATCAATTTTTGATAGTTCTTTTTCAATATCAAGCCTAACATAAAACAAAATATCTATGAGTATATATGAATTGGCAAAGCGAAATAACATTTAGTTAAAGTCAAATACCAGCAGAAACTTTCATATACATATGTTCCATGGCTGCTTTGTGTGCACCAAAAACCATCCAAATACTACCTTGTAAAACAGGTGTGACATCATCACTGAGAAAACAGAGCTGAAGGAGGGACCCATCGGGCTCCACCCACTACAGGCTACCTGCAAAAAACTACAGAAAGGGGCGGGAACAAGACCAGTCACCCTGCACAAGGATAGAGAGCAGCAGTGACTGGTCTTTATTACAGGAAGCTCCTCCACACAGGCAAACATTCACACTGGATTACTCCATGTCTGCAAAAAATACACAAAGCTCCCCAAGATCCAAGTAAGAATACATAACCCTCTTGTATTCAGACAATAGTTGCTTATCCCAGAGATCAGCCCTGTTTTCTTATATTTTACTTAAAAGCGAAAAAAGATATAAAACCACTTTTGTCCAGTTATGTATTAATTCAAAACTCGTACAGAAAGTTTTACGTTTAAATGATAACTTTATTTAGCCAATAAAAGTTATTAAAGATGTAAGCTTTCTGGACCCCTTACGTCCCTTCCCCGTGCTTTATAAAACTGTATAAAACTTGCAGGAGGGACCTAAGAGGTTCTGAAAGCTTACATCTTTAATAACTTAGGATAGCCAACAAAATGTATCAAACTATAAAACTTTCTGCTATAATCAAAGGCTAACACGATACTCTACTACAATCTAAAACATCAGTAAATGTAACTTAAATACAGCAAATACAACTGAAATCAATTTATATGATCTTCCTATTCCTATTATATGACTCCTGCACAGCAAATGGGACTGAGAATAGGAGACCATGCACTCTGTGTCAAATGGGCTCTTTTGTATAGTACAATGCTGTTTTCAGGCACTGGGAGCTGAATGGGGAGCAGAGGGAGTACCTCACGTGTGTAATATTGCTCCTTCATACTTGAACAGGCAGGCAAGTGGTACAGAAAGATACAAAGCTCTTATAGGAAATGGCGGTATCAGCGTGCCGGCTGTCTAGCAGTCCCAGCACCACCCTCTCCCTGTGACCTGACCAGAATCTGCAGTTCCGTTGTTTCAACATGACAGCAAGGCAACTAGCAATTTAAACTGGAACTTGACCCAACAATGTAATGTCTCCCAAAACAGTTACTTTTAAGGCATGCCAGCTGTGAAGGTTGCCAGTGTGATTATTTCAGCTCTCAACCGAACTTTCCATCTCTCAAATGGCTGGTGTCGTAGGTGACCACATGTGCAGTACCATGGTAACTGCAATCCAAATAGAGGCCAAGATGGCACCTTCCTCAGTTGTAAAGGATAGGAGGGTGTAGTTTCCCTTTAAAACAGTACAGCAGGGACGGAAAATCTTATTAAAGATTAAAGAGTTAAGTGCGCGTTTGTGTCTAGGTTAAAAAAAATAAGTTAGAACCACCTGATCCTCAGAGACCGGTCCCTTCCCTCCACTTCAGCGGTCTAAGGATTCTCGAGGTATCACGTTCTATACACTGTTTATAGAAAGTGAGGACGCCAAGGAACATATCATCGCTGCAGCGGAAGAGGAGACAGAGTGAAGGGAGCGCTTTGGCAGCCGGGTGGACCTGAGGTTTGGGTGAGTATAACTTTTTATTTTTGAACCTAGACACAAATTAACACTTAACCCTTGCAGTGTGGGGGTAGCCCCACTTCAAGGGTTAAGAACTTTTTTTCTTCTTTAGGGACGTGGTCAGCGATACCAGCCCATTAACTTCTGTCAGGACAGGTGTCATGTAAATATCTTTATACCACAAAATATGCTTGCATTAAATCAATACAATGAACATTTGTTTAGAAGAGGCGGGGCCAAGGGGTAGGCAGCAAAGGTGCCCATCCTGGGTGACATCATAACATAAACTAACATTCTTGCATGGGCTTCCCAGGCCTGACTCCAACTGTAATAGAATGTAACAACAATCTCCTGGCTATGATGTCTCAGGAACATGGGAGTTCATACGTCTTATTGCCGCTGAACATTATATTCAGGACAGACTAAAAATGATTATCAGTTCAATACCGTGTTTCCCCGAAAATAAGACAGTGTCTTATTTTATTTTTTTCACGAAAAAAGACACTAGGTCTTATTTTCGGGGGATGTCTTACCTGGCTGCAGCTGTCCGCTCTGCCGTCTAGGAAGCTTCCCCGAAGATAGCGCTAGGTCTTATTTTCGGGGTAGGTCTTACTTTCGGGGAAACACGGTAGCTATAAAAATCACCATCATGATCACCATCAATCTCTCACCTATCCCAGTCCCCGTACTCTCGGGGCACTTTAGAGTTGCCAGCACGATGTTCTCTTCCTCTGGGCTGAAACAAAAGATAACATTTTACTAAAAGAAAAAAACAAAGACTGGGATTCTTTTCTTTTTGTACCTGCATACATTAAAATGTATCTTTTACTCAAGCTGTAGTAATATGGTTCCTTTTAGCATGGTAGGGCCACTGTAAAATGTATGAGCTGGTCTCCACATAATACAGGCAGTCCCCGGGTTACATACAAGATAGGGACTGAAGGTTTGTACTTAAGTTGAATTGTATGTAAGTCGGAACAGGTGCATTTTTTAAGTGTAACTCCAGCCAAAAAAACATATTTTGTAGTTTTGGATAGCATAGGGAACGGTTCCCACTGCCCGCTGTCAATCAGCAGAGGAGGGGCCTGAAGGAGAAAGTTCTCTACCAGGTCCTCCCATGCTAATTGACAGCAGTAAGTGGGCGGGTGCAATAGCCAGCTTGCTATGGGCTATTGCATTTTACAATATCCAATAGCAGGCTGGGTATGGCTCTCCGCCTGCCGATGAAGAGGAGGCATATGCAGCGGTCTGTATCCCCGCTGCCTCCACCAACACAGGCGGAGAGAGCAGCGCGGATTTGAAAGGACACAGGCCGCTCCAGCCACAGTTCTCCTAAATGTACCGGCGGCTCCCGATACATTTAGGAGAACTGTGGACCCTGGTTCGTAAGTACGGATTGTCCGTAAGTCGGACGTCCGTAACCCGGGGACTGCCTGTATGTGGCTAAAGTGATAAGGTTTTTAAGCTATTTCAAATGCTGATGAAATCACTTACAATGGATGCTGCTCCTTGATGTTTAAACGTTTTAGTTTCTGGCAGAATCATCTGGTACCCTGAGCCCTGTTCCTGATATCCTGTTGTGTGTGCAGTGGTCGCAGCTGGGACTTAGCTCCGGCGCTCCACCACTGTCCTGAAATCATTAGTCTGTATTGTTTTAGAAAAACTGTCACATGACAATAAACAAAAATGTATCAGTACTTGTGTCTGTGAGGACTTGGACAATTATCAGTACTTGTATTTGAAAAAATGGTATCGGTGCATCCCTTATATATATTTATTTTAAACAAAATCATACATTAAAACAGAGATGCACAAATCCCAGGAGCTCCGTGTGCTCAAAAATGACAGATGCCTCCTAACTTTTGAATTTTTCTCTAGTCTAGCCCTGGAGCTGGAAAAATATCTGTACTTGGACTAAGTACGTACTTGGTATCTGAACATCCCTACTTTAAACTTTATTCCTATTAGATTGCAAGCTCTCACGGGCAGGGCCCTCCTACCTGTAATGAAATTGTATTGTTAACTGTATTGACTCCCTTAGTTTTGTAAAGCTCTGCGCAAACTGTTGGCGCCATATAAATCCTGTATGATAATATTAACTTACGCTTTAGTGAAGTGGAAGCCAGAAAGTAATAAAAGAACAACGTTTTGTACAGTCAGGTGCTTTTAGGTTCTTTTACATGCAAACAGGAAGCAAATAGCCTCTAAATAGCCTTCAAATAGGTAAAAACCTTAGAAAAACAGTAATCTGCAAATAAAAACAATATAAACATATGTCAGTTTAGCCAGAATATTAGAAAATGTGAACCTTATTAGGTGTGGGGTTACTGGAGACACTGCGAATAGGGGGCAGGTTGTCCACGATTTTCTCCAAGACAGATTTCTGTTGTTCTTTAAGCTTGATGTCAGTCAAAAAATTCTGAAAAAATAAATGTAAATAATCAACAGAAATGCTCACATTTGTTTTACAGAGCAAACCTAACAACAGAAAAAGTTGATGCAGAACCCCACCTGCTTCTGTTCTGTAGATGTTGAGATACTGCTAACTGGGACAGTCTACCTACTATAATCTCAGGACTAGGGTTGTAACAAAGAATTATAATGAAATGTAAATTTAACATTACTGAAATATCTGATCTCTTGATTTTTTTCTAAAGCTTAATGAAGCCCAAAACCAAAAATGTAATGTATCCTTACCCGCACACCGCTTACCTGCACCACCGGTGTGGTGGCTGCATGCGTTTTGGTTTTTTTTCTGGCTCTTTATCCTTTAGTTTGAGCTAGTGATGTGTGATCCCTGAAAACACCTGATTTCATCTTCATTAATTGGAGGATAATTAGATTTAAGTCCAATTGAACATTCAAGTTAAATCAGCTAAATACATTCCAGGTGCGTCACAACAAAGGTGTGCAACATCTAAAGGTGCCCATACACCTGCCGATTATCGTATGATAATCGAGGAAAATCCCGCAATCGTACGATAACCGGCAGGTGTATGGAAGGCGTGCGACCATTTCTACTGTACGGTCGCACATCTTTTGTCTCCCGAGCAGGCTGGAAAACCCGCCGAGAATCGTACGATTGTCGGCGGGTCAGTGGCGTTCTCGGGTGACAAATGCCCGCGCGTCATTGGAGTCACCGGAAGCCCACCCCTCAGCGGGGTGGACTTTCGATGATCGCAAGTACGATCTGCCTGTCCAAGATGGGCATATCGTACGAGCTTTTAATTACTTTACAATCATCGCACGACTCAAGTCGTGCGATGGTTGTAAAGTGTATGGCCAGCTTTAAGCTGCCCATACACCTTGCGATCATCGGACGACACTTTTCGTCCGATGATCGAACAGTCGTACAATTTTCATACGGCGGCCCCATCATGCCCCGATTATCGCAAGGTTGTGAAAACATTGCAACCTTGCAGCACACATTTTACAAGTGATTGCGGCGACATTGCCGCAATCACTTGTTAACGAGCGAGCGGATTCCCCACACTACATTTAGTCCTGCCTTCCCAAAGCAGGACTAAATGTAGAAGGCAATTTACCGCCCGGCGCCCGGGACTTTATGTTCCGGCCGTCGGGGGACTCCATGCCGCTGCCGCCCCGAGGCCTGGCCTCGGTGGCCTTGTGGGGAATCTAGGCCTGACGGAGAAGAGTATATTTTTCTCTCCCAATACTTCTCCTTTAAAGACTGGAAATCTGCAATATATTAAATTTTTTTGTTGGATTTATCATTTAATACAGTAGAAGTAGGCTAGAACCTCTGTCCCCTTTTTTATGCTTTCGGATCCCTAGTGTATTTATTCACTCACTTCCTGTCTGGTGGGTGAAACTGGTGTCACTGTAAAAGGAAGTAAGAGGAAATTTCTCTAACAGAACTCAAAAAAGCAGAATAAACCCAACAGGGGTTCTACCCTTCAGCACTTTATTCAAAATTAAACAAAACATTTTGGCTGAATTTACACTTTATAATACGTCATGGCTGTTGCCAAGTAGTCCAAACATTAAAAAAAAAAGTGTGAGGAGGAAGAAATGACCCCCCTGGGGTAAATCACAAGCCAGGTGTGTTTTGGGTTGCACATCAAGCATGTTTTTTTAAAGCTCCACTCTGGGCTCAGCTCCACCTACCCTCTTTTAAAACATACTTACCTTTTTCAGATGTCTTCAGGTCTTCTTCTCCTATCAGTCAGTCAGTCTTCTTCTCCTATCACGCAGCGTCTTCTTCCCCTTTGCCTTTTCCACTGGTGCAGATCACTGCCCATGCAGAGAACAGCGCTAATGTGATGATGGCAGTGCAGCTCTCTACTTTAATATACAATAATGAAGGGAGCCAAGGTGATGCCCCCTCAGGGGGCAGGGCCATGACGCCCATTCACTCGTAGTATGTGCTTAGTCTTCCGGTTTGGATAAAACTGTCCTGCACTAAACCTGGAAGACTGAGGCCATCTTGTGGTGGAAAAGAAGTAATGCAGGGAACAACTCCAGATTGAATGGTGAGTATTGCAGCCTCAGCTTCTTTTTTGTTACCTTGCCTAGTGACCTTTATTATAAAAAAAAAATACTTGCCCAGAGTGGACTTTAAAAGAAAACTATGGGGAAAGTGTTTTTCTCCATAGTTCTCTTTAGGGTCATGGTAGAACATATACTAACCTCCTCCCGTGTCCCAAAGCTCAGTATATAGCTGACTATTGCCAGCTATATACTGTGAGCGCTAAAGCCAGGACGGATGCCGACAATACTGTCGAGATCCACCCAGCTGCATGAGAGACAGCGGGCTCTTCCTATCTAGAGGCAGAGCCAACTGTGCCCGCCCCCTCCACCTTTCATTCCTCCACTCAGCGCTGGAGGATCGGAGAGGGAAGGGGGGAATCCCTGCGGGGAGCGGTGACTGACAGTCACCGCTCACTGCAGGGAGACGATCGGGAAGTGAGCGGATCGGCTGCATGTTTCTGCTCACTTCCCGATCAGTAGAGCCGAGCTGTTACAGCTTCTTTGTCACAGGTCGGGTCTAACTACCGTGTTTCCCCGAAAATAAGACAGTGTCTTATATTTTTTTTTTCACAAAAAAAAACACTAGGTCTTATTTTCGGGGTAGGTCTTATATTACAGAAATCCCTGATGATAGCACTAGGTCTTATTTTCGGGGTAGGTCTTACTTTCGGGGAAACACGGTAGTTAGACCCGACCTGTGACAAAGACGCTGTCACAGGTCGGCTCTACTGATCGGGAAGTGAGCAGAAACATGCAGCCGATCCGCTCACTTCCCGATCAGTAGAGCCGACCTGTGACAGCGTCTTTGTCACAGGTCGGGTCTAACTACCGTGTTTCCCCGAAAATAAGACAGTGTCTTATATTTTTTTTTTCACAAAAAAAAACACTAGGTCTTATTTTCGGGGTAGGTCTTACTTTCGGGGAAACACGGTAGTTAGACCCGACCTGTGACAAAGACGCTGTCACAGGTCGGCTCTACTGATCGGGAAGTGAGCAGAAACATGCAGCCGATCCGCTCACTTCCCGATCAGTAGAGCCGACCTGTGACAGCGTCTTTGTCACAGGTCGGGTCTAACTACCGTGTTTCCCCGAAAATAAGACAGTGTCTTATATTTTTTTTTTCACAAAAAAAAACACTAGGTCTTATTTTCGGGGTAGGTCTTACTTTCGGGGAAACACGGTAGTTAGACCCGACCTGTGACAAAGACGCTGTCACAGGTCGGCTCTACTGATCGGGAAGTGAGCAGAAACATGCAGCCGATCCGCTCACTTCCCGATCAGTAGAGCCGACCTGTGACAGCGTCTTTGTCACAGGTCGGGTCTAACTACCGTGTTTCCCCGAAAATAAGACAGTGTCTTATATTTTTTTTTTCACAAAAAAAAACACTAGGTCTTATTTTCGGGGTAGGTCTTACTTTCGGGGAAACACGGTAGTTAGACCCGACCTGTGACAAAGACGCTGTCACAGGTCGGCTCTACTGATCGGGAAGTGAGCAGAAACATGCAGCCGATCCGCTCACTTCCCGATCAGTAGAGCCGACCTGTGACAGCGTCTTTGTCACAGGTCGGGTCTAACTACCGTGTTTCCCCGAAAATAAGACAGTGTCTTATATTTTTTTTTTCACAAAAAAAAACACTAGGTCTTATTTTCGGGGTAGGTCTTACTTTCGGGGAAACACGGTAGTTAGACCCGACCTGTGACAAAGACGCTGTCACAGGTCGGCTCTACTGATCGGGAAGTGAGCAGAAACATGCAGCCGATCCGCTCACTTCCCGATCAGTAGAGCCGACCTGTGACAGCGTCTTTGTCACAGGTCGGGTCTAACTACCGTGTTTCCCCGAAAATAAGACAGTGTCTTATATTTTTTTTTTCACAAAAAAAAACACTAGGTCTTATTTTCGGGGTAGGTCTTACTTTCGGGGAAACACGGTAGTTAGACCCGACCTGTGACAAAGACGCTGTCACAGGTCGGCTCTACTGATCGGGAAGTGAGCAGAAACATGCAGCCGATCCGCTCACTTCCCGATCAGTAGAGCCGACCTGTGACAGCGTCTTTGTCACAGGTCGGGTCTAACTACCGTGTTTCCCCGAAAATAAGACAGTGTCTTATATTTTTTTTTTCACAAAAAAAAACACTAGGTCTTATTTTCGGGGTAGGTCTTACTTTCGGGGAAACACGGTAGTTAGACCCGACCTGTGACAAAGACGCTGTCACAGGTCGGCTCTACTGATCGGGAAGTGAGCAGAAACATGCAGCCGATCCGCTCACTTCCCGATCAGTAGAGCCGACCTGTGACAGCGTCTTTGTCACAGGTCGGGTCTAACTACCGTGTTTCCCCGAAAATAAGACAGTGTCTTATATTTTTTTTTTCACAAAAAAAAACACTAGGTCTTATTTTCGGGGTAGGTCTTACTTTCGGGGAAACACGGTAGTTAGACCCGACCTGTGACAAAGACGCTGTCACAGGTCGGCTCTACTGATCGGGAAGTGAGCAGAAACATGCAGCCGATCCGCTCACTTCCCGATCAGTAGAGCCGACCTGTGACAGCGTCTTTGTCACAGGTCGGGTCTAACTACCGTGTTTCCCCGAAAATAAGACAGTGTCTTATATTTTTTTTTTCACAAAAAAAAACACTAGGTCTTATTTTCGGGGTAGGTCTTACTTTCGGGGAAACACGGTAGTTAGACCCGACCTGTGACAAAGACGCTGTCACAGGTCGGCTCTACTGATCGGGAAGTGAGCAGAAACATGCAGCCGATCCGCTCACTTCCCGATCAGTAGAGCCGACCTGTGACAGCGTCTTTGTCACAGGTCGGGTCTAACTACCGTGTTTCCCCGAAAATAAGACAGTGTCTTATATTTTTTTTTTCACAAAAAAAAACACTAGGTCTTATTTTCGGGGTAGGTCTTACTTTCGGGGAAACACGGTAGTTAGACCCGACCTGTGACAAAGACGCTGTCACAGGTCGGCTCTACTGATCGGGAAGTGAGCAGAAACATGCAGCCGATCCGCTCACTTCCCGATCAGTAGAGCCGACCTGTGACAGCGTCTTTGTCACAGGTCGGGTCTAACTACCGTGTTTCCCCGAAAATAAGACAGTGTCTTATATTTTTTTTTTCACAAAAAAAAACACTAGGTCTTATTTTCGGGGTAGGTCTTACTTTCGGGGAAACACGGTAGTTAGACCCGACCTGTGACAAAGACGCTGTCACAGGTCGGCTCTACTGATCGGGAAGTGAGCAGAAACATGCAGCCGATCCGCTCACTTCCCGATCAGTAGAGCCGACCTGTGACAGCGTCTTTGTCACAGGTCGGGTCTAACTACCGTGTTTCCCCGAAAATAAGACAGTGTCTTATATTTTTTTTTTCACAAAAAAAAACACTAGGTCTTATTTTCGGGGTAGGTCTTACTTTCGGGGAAACACGGTAGTTAGACCCGACCTGTGACAAAGACGCTGTCACAGGTCGGCTCTACTGATCGGGAAGTGAGCAGAAACATGCAGCCGATCCGCTCACTTCCCGATCAGTAGAGCCGACCTGTGACAGCGTCTTTGTCACAGGTCGGGTCTAACTACCGTGTTTCCCCGAAAATAAGACAGTGTCTTATATTTTTTTTTTCACAAAAAAAAACACTAGGTCTTATTTTCGGGGTAGGTCTTACTTTCGGGGAAACACGGTAGTTAGACCCGACCTGTGACAAAGACGCTGTCACAGGTCGGCTCTACTGATCGGGAAGTGAGCAGAAACATGCAGCCGATCCGCTCACTTCCCGATCAGTAGAGCCGACCTGTGACAGCGTCTTTGTCACAGGTCGGGTCTAACTACCGTGTTTCCCCGAAAATAAGACAGTGTCTTATATTTTTTTTTTCACAAAAAAAAACACTAGGTCTTATTTTCGGGGTAGGTCTTACTTTCGGGGAAACACGGTATGAGGATGAGTGGAAATCACTCACCTCAATGTTCTCCTTTAAATTAAAACATTTAATATATGTCTCCTATTGTTCTATTGCTGTTTCTGTCCTTTTGTATGAAAAACTTAATAAAAATCTATTCTTTAGAGCCAGCGGGGCCGACTAGCAAGATACTGAAGCTTAGCCCAGCGGGAGATTCCTCCATCCGCACAGCTCAGCATAGATGGAGGAATCTGTTGCACGTTTTCCATCTGACCATAGAAAGTCTGCAGATAATCTATAAGTGTATGGTCAGCTTTATTCTCCAGATCATTGTGTGTCACTGTGGAGCCTCTTAGGAATCCAGATCGCAGACAGGGCTTCAACTGCTGCTCAATCATAGCTAGGATTATACAGGAACCATGAACATTCAATCTTTAGTTATTATAAGTGTGTAGACGTGGGGTCACGTCACACTGGCAGCTAGTATAGTTTGGAAACACCAATGGTAGACTACAACGGACTTCCTATTACTTACTATGTATTAACTAAAAACTGAAATAACAAGAGGAAAAATATGAAATAAAAAAATAAATAGAAAGATTTATTCAGGGCACACGGAGCATGTCATCCCACAAAGCAACTTTATTCACAAAAAACAATAATATCTCCCTTACAAAAAATCAATACCCACCAGCAGTCCCCCAAGGATAGATTGAGTCCATGTATAGCACCAATATAGAGCCAATGGCTGACCTTGGAACTATAGCATCTTACATACATATCTTCATGTGTATTAGTAGCCTGGAATGTCGTCTTATAGAAGAACGGGCATACAAAATCTTAGCCCTTATAGTAGGGCCACAATGGGGGGTGGGGGGGTTATCAAAACTTGAGTAAACAGAATCTGGAGCAGTTGCCCATAATAACCAATTAGCATCTCTCTTCAGTTTGTGCTCAGGTAAGATTTGAAAATGAAAGAGAGACGCTGATTGGTTGCAGTGTAAATCTGCTCCAGATTTTGTCTGCCCCAGTTTTGTTAAATCCCCCCCCCTGTTTTTATGCAAGGGTTTATTTTACTGTTTTTGTGAATAAAGTTGCCTTGTGGGATGACATGATCCCTGTACTCTGAATGGAAATGCATATTCATTTTTTTAACATATTTTTCATTTTTTGACTCTTGTTATTTCGGTTGTTAGTTAATACATTACATCCCGCCCCTTTGTTTACGTGAAGCTGCAGGGTGGGGAATGCCCCGGCCGCAGCTGAAGGGGCTAACACTGACAGCTACCTTCCAGGCCTACTCTACAGGACTAGACAGACATAAAAAATACCTGAGAATGCTCAAAATCTTTTCAAGGTGTTTCACATCTGTGCACTTCTCAATGAATTTATAGTCCAGGTGATCCACGGGTATTTCATATGATTTGGTTGTTCCCCGATAGAATCCAGCGGAAGCCTCGTAAGTACTCATCTCTGAACAATAATGAGAAAAACGTTAGATCATCCTGACTACACAGTAGCAAAGACACTTGAAATTGGCTTCCGGCCTAGGCTGGAAACATGGAGAGGAAACTGGAGGTGTTACCCATAAGAACTAACTGGAGGTGAGCTGTGAGTTTAGAAAATGTACATAAAAAAGTAAGTACATGAGAAACGTAGAGTATTATATAATACAGGTGTCCCCACTGGAAGATTCACCCTCTATTCCTGTTCTGGCAACAACTTTAAATTTGGGATTTTCCTTTACTTTCACTCTTGGTGAAAGAGACAACTGGGAGCACTAGTTGTTTATTCCTTCCCAAAAATCACAACAGGAAGTGAGAGGAAATCCCTTCAAAGTGAGGGAAATCCCTGATGGTCAGCTGAGTCACTAGAACTAGTGTCCCTATTGGAAGATATCCCATCTTTTCCTGTTCTGATGCCAACCCAAAATTTGGGAATTTCCTTCACTGGTAACTTGGTAAGGGTCACCAGGATAAATATTGAAGGTGAATGTCCCTAACGGGGACACGGACAGCAATCCCTCTCCACTCTATCTTTTGTTCTGGTGACAACTATAACATTTGAATATTCCCATTACTGTCTGTTTCAGTCACCATGATCACCAGGAAGAAAAGGGTGACTCTCCCCAGGAAGGACAGCACTAAAAAACTTAACAGAGGATCTAGTCCTTTCCTCTATCTAAAACTAAAAAAGAAAACTGGGGCTATACATACACCTAAAGCTGAACTCTAGGATTAATACATATTGTCTAAATACAAGATCCCTGCATACCCTTACTTGACTCTTGGTGAGCTTTGTGTATTTCTTCCAGATCTGTGCAGCAATCCAGTGTGAAACGTGCAGCTTCCTGTAATAAAGACCAGTCACTGCTGCTCTCTCTTCTTGTGCAGGGTGACTGGTCTTGTATCTGCCCCCTCCAGTCGTTTTCTGCGGGCAGCCTGTAGTGGGTGGGGCCTGCTAGGCTCCTCCTACAGCTCTGCTCTCAGCACAGGCTATGTAAAGCATAGTGATTACGTCACTGCTACTTTGGCAAGGTAATATCTAGGTTTCCAAAGGCATTTGGTGCACACAAAGTGGATTTCTGTCCTTTGTGGCTATGGAGGAATATATTTTAACAAAAGTTTTTATGTTCGGAGTTAAACTTCAAAGAATGCACACAATATTACAAGGAGGAGGTTAGTGCCGGAGCAGTTTTGGAAGCTTCCATCTGAATGGCTGGACCACTTATGCATCCCACCGCAAGGAGCTGGTCACAAGCGTCATGCACTTACCTGCCATGTCGCTATCTCTGAACAGAGCCGTGTTTCCACTTTGTACACAGGACTCAGTACGTCTCAGCACTTGGAACGCACTTGGAACGCTTTTTAAAAGCCCCAAAATCAGCGTGTTTCCGTTGAAGTCTATATTGAAAACATGCTGATCAGCACTGAAAAAGTAGCACAGGGAGCAGTTCGGGCGACAGGCGGATTGAACAGGCGTGAACGGGCCCCATAGGAATGAATGGCTTTTTAAATGTTGGCGTTTCAGCGCGGAAAAATCCGTGCGACGAAAACGCCCTGGTGTGAACAGGGCCTTATGGCAACACAGTGCAAAATAATAATGTGAAGTTATCCGTTCCTATGCCTCTCTCTTGCATACAGGAGAGTAATGAGGAAGTTATGCAGCCCCTGAAGCACAGTCTAGGGAAAGATTATCATTTATAAATGCAGCGGGGTGACATGTGTCCATCCTATACACTCACCTGCAGGCTCTCAGACAGTCCGGGCGCAGAACAACTTCAACTACAATGCAAACACCGCGGCCTGCGTTGTTTGCTGTTACCATGGAGACATAACGCCTGACCAATCGCAGGAGGAGCTATAGTGAGCACATCTCTCTAACAATCCGTGGAGAATGTCTCCAGAAACGGACCTTTAATTTAGGGAGGCAGCCATTTTCTCGGAGACCACAGTAATAACCGAGGTCCATGCGAGTACCGTTGAACATCGGTTAAAACTAGAAGACAAATGATTTTCGTCCTCTAGTGTCCCAGCTGTTGTAAAATCCTCACTTCAGCTGACTAGATATGAATACTAATAACAATTCTGTTGGGCTCAAGCACCATAAAATACCTTCAAGTAATATTAAACTCTCAAACCTTTTCTTCAAGAATTAATTCAGACCTAACAAATACACATTGCTCAGCAAAGTATTTCTTTAAATTTTTTCCGAAGAACTTACAGTCAATGGGGGGAATTTATCAAAATCGAAGCAAAATCTGGAGCAGCTGTGCATGGCAACCAATCAGCTTCTCTGTTTTATTTTTATACCTTAGCTAAACAAACTGAAGAGAGAAGCTGAATGGTCTGCTCCAGGTTTGGTAAATTCCCCCTATCATGTTTCCAAACACCTGAATCCAACTCTCACAGCTCTGCTTCCCTGAACGTCCTGTCCAGTACAAGATCGCAAGGGACAGAGGAGACTCAGGAACTGTCAATGCACTGGCTCTAAGGCCCCATTCACACTAGGGTGGATGCATTTCAGCGTCGTTTCCGCATGAATTTTAAAAGGGTGTTTTTGGGCGTTTTTAATCGTGTTTCAGCACTGATCACCCCGTTTCCATTGAAATCTATATGGAATTTGCGCTGATCAGCGTGAAAAAATTGCTCAGGGAGCATTTTGGGCGGCAGACGGTTCGGATCGCGTGGGGGCGCAATCGCATGAACGCTCCCCATAGGAATGTATGTGGTTGTTCATGTCGGCGCTTCAGTGCTGACAAATCCGCGTGACCGAACCACCCTGGTGTAAACGGGGCCTTACTCTTAGGAAAAAGGAAGTGGGAGAAGGGAATGTCTTACCTTGCTGTGTCTGCGTGTTTGTGGAGACCCACAGATTACTAGCACACACAAGGGTGGCTTCATAGGACCCTGCAAGGGAAAGGAGCCACCCTTCAAAGTGATATGCTCACTGGACAAGCTGATTCCTTAAAAGTCAAATGTTTTTTGAATGTCATGTTGTAATACCACATTACAGCCGCTAGCTGTATTTTTTTTCCTATGCTCATCAGCTCCATCTAGAGGCCATAATGCATTTTTCAATCCTTTGTTACATCTCAGTGCTGCTGATCTCCTGCAGTAAACATGTGCGATTCGTTTAGTTCCAAATCAAAATTCGGACATTCGTACACATCCGAATATCCGAATCCCAATGCATCTGAATCAGGGCTATAACTTTTTTTTTTCAAAATTTTCTGTAATTTTTCCTAATTATAATAAAAAATAAAAACCCCAGTGGTGATTAAATACCACCGAAATAACGCCCTATCTGTCCCCAAAAAATGGTATAAAATTCATTTCAGTACAGCGTTGCATGACGGAATAAACGTCAGTCAAAGTATCGCAGCGCTGAACACTGAAAAATGGCCTGGCCAGGAAGGGGGTCTAAACACCTGGTCTTGAAGTGGTTAATTACATTTAGGATTTATGACATTCAACACATTATATGTTGGGGGCGCTGCATAATTTGAAAGTTATCTGTTTCGACCCAACGGTCGATTTTGCTGCAGCCTTCAAACTAAATTGGCACACTAGCACTTATACATTTTTTTAGGTCCAGCGCAGAATCACTTATATCTATAAAGTTCCTACGTGGCCACTTGTAGTCTTCATCAGAAGCCCACGTGACACAGTAACAGTGAGGCAGCATAGTTGGGAGACAGGGGCAGACCGTTGTCACCCTATAACACATGGGTGGACAACTCCGGCCCTCCAGCTATTGTGGGACTACAAGTCCCATGAGGCATTGCAAGACTGACGATTACAGGCATGACTACCAGAGGCAGAGGCATGTTGGGATTAGTAGATAAAGCACAGCCGGAGGGCCAGAGTTGCCCAACCCTGCTCTAACAGGAAGTGTCTGAGGAAGGATCTTCATGGTAGGATTATTTTAATAAAAGATTTTAAAATATCAAAAGTAACTTTTCAACTTTTTTTTTTAGCTTGTGTCCCCATAGATGGCAAATGGTTTATAATTTGGCCCGTTGCAGCTGCCGTGTGGACAGGTTACACTGGATATCCCAGAGTGCAGGAAACAATTAGAGTAGTCACACCATGCCCACTACAATGCTATATGCTACAAGCAATGCTCAGACCCAGCTCATGTGAATGATCAATGTCTCCATGCCTACCCCTGCAATAGCATGTAGTGATGGCACTAACATATGGCCAGGCTCAATATAAGCTCAATATAAACAGCAAACATTAACCCATGCCCAAATCCTGGATACCGATGCGGTGTGTGCACTAAAAATATACATAGGAAAGGTTCTCTAATATCTATTGTATATCCTCACGGGCAGGGCCCTCCTTACCATCTTGTCTTGAATTGTATTGTGATTGTAATGTCTTCCTTATATTGTAAAGCGCTGTGCAAACTGTTGGCGCTATAAAAATCCTGTATAATAATAATATCACAGCTGTACCTGCCTTGAAATACACCAGAGCTGCCATCTTGTGGAGGGATTCGGAAATGCTGGCCGATCACATATAGACGTCATTAGCAGTACGGCAACCCGCGAATGCGACAGTGCCGTCCGTCCGTTTTTCTACTACGGGCGGACGGCAACTGGTTAAAGTGGCCGCCAGTGGGCCTAACCCCTTCGTGACTGACGACGTACAGTGTACGTCGCCAGCATAGGGGCTGTTTAAGCACACTATGTTTAAACTTGTAAAGCCGACTGTTGGCTTTACAACAGAAGCGATTCTGGCGACTTACATGTCGCCAGATCGCTTCTGTGTCCCGTAGAAGGGGACCCCGCCGGACACCGCCGCCGTGCTTCCGGGGCTCCGTTGCCCCTCCTACGGCCCCGGTTTATCGATTGGGAAGTAGGCTGAAACATGCAGCCGATCTGCTCACTTCTCGATTGTCTCCCTGCAGTGTGCAGTGACTGTCAGGTTCCGATCCGATCCTCCAGTGCTGAGTGGAGGAACGGACGGGGAGGGGGCGGGTACAGCTGGCTCTGCCTCTAGATAGGCAGAGCCAGCTGTTACTCACGCAGCTGGTTTGATCTCGAAAGTAATGTTGAGATCCGTCCAGGCTTTGGCGCTCACGGTATATTGTGGGCAATAGTCAGCTATATACTGAGCTTTGGCTGACGGGAGCAGGTTAGTATATACGTGACACTAAAGAGATCTATGCGGAAAATCACTTACCACATAGTTCTCTTTGAATTAACTTACACTATATTGGCAAAAGTATTGGGACACCCCTCCAAATCATTGGATTCAGGTGTTCCAATCACCTCCATGGCCACAGGTGTATAAAATCAAGCACCTCGGCATGCAGACGCCTCTACAAACATTTGTGAAAGAATGGGTCCACTCAGGAGCTCAGTGAATTCAAGCGTGGTACCGTGATAGGTTGTCACCTGTACAAAAAGTCCATCCGTGAAATTCCTTGCTACTAAATATTCCACGGTCAACTGTTAGTGGTATTATAACAAAGTGGAAGCAACTGGGAACAACAGCAACTCAGCCACGCATCAGCATACCAAGACATTTTGGACAATTTCATGCTCCCAACTTTGTGGGAACAGTTTGGGTATGGCCCCTTCCTGTTTCAACATGACTGCGCACCAGTGCACAAAGCAAGGTCCATAAAGACATGGATGAGTGAGTTTGGGGTGGAGGAACCTGACTGGGCTGCACAAAGTCCTGACCTCAAACCAATAGAACACCTTTGGGATGAATTAGAGCGGAGACTGCGAGCCCGGCCTTCTCGTCCAACATCAGTACCTGACCTCACAAATGTGCTTCTGGAAGAATGGTCAAACATTTCCATAGACACACTCCTAAACCTTGTGGACGTCTTCCCAGAAGAGTTGAAGCTGTTATAGCAGCAAAGGGCGGGCCAACTCAATATTGAACCCTGTGGACTAAGACTGGGATGCCATCAAAGTTCATGAGCGTATAAAGGCAGGCGTCCCAATACTTTTGGCAATATAGTGTATTTTCACATAAGCAGTTTATTTTAGCCACTCTGTGATCTTTGGCACAATAGCACTCATATTGGCAGGAGGGTCAGTTCAAAACACGTCATGCTCAGTGTTGTCAATCTAAGGGTCAAGTCGCATAAGCAATTCTATCGCTGGTGACAACTCACTGAGGACAGGATTGCTCAAAGACCACGTAGGGCCTGTTCACACCATAGTGTTGTGCTAAACACGCATTACCGTGTGTTTAGCACACTATCACACAATACACCTATCATGCATTAGGTTGCCATTTATTTGAATGGCATCCCATCACACTTCCTGACAGCTATTTGATGCAGCACGCCTGCACTCCTTTTTTTACTGCATTGCTGCAATGCATGGCTTCCAGGAGGTGCGTTGAAGTGCCATTCAAATGAACAGCAAGGGACATCCTGACATCTCTATGGTTCAGCTATTCAATAGAAGTGAGTGGAAAGCTCTGCTGTGCTCTGCTTCTGGCGATGTGTTACCAGCAGCAAAATCACCCACGTGGCATGGTCTTAACACTAAAAGCTTCCTAAGAGAGCAGAGCGATGATGTTCCTTCACTATCTGTTCACAGACAGAGGCAAGTCCTACACCAGGTTGTATTGCTCTACTGCAGTGTATTTTGTAGAAAGGTCCAAGGTCTGCTGGTCTGGTTGTACTATCAGGCAGTGGTGCTTGGAACATAAGATCAGCTCAATATAATTATAAGTTTTGGCAGGTAAAACAGCTCACACATATTCATTCATGTAGTTCATGTGTTTAGCCATTTGCCTGTTTCCTTCTAGTTTTAGAAGGAAGGAAGGGTTACAACTTTAGTTAGGTATCCACTGCTGTATGTAGATACTCCCCAGCTATCTACTGCATTATGTATTCCCATGGGGGACCCATTACTGTCAGGCCCAGTGACACAACAGGAAGTGAGAGGACGTTTCCCAAAGGTTAGAGGAAAGAACACCTTTTGACAGTTATCACTGAAACAGGTGTCCTCACTAAGAGATTTACCTCCTACTCCTGTTCTGGTGACACCTGGAAAATTTGATATCTCCCTTTACTTTCTTTTCAAGAAACAACGGTCACAGGACAGATGTAAAAATGAATCTCCCAAACTCTTATACAGCAATATAAATCTTATAGAGGTTCACAACCTTCCACATTCTATCCATAACCAGAGAAAGTTTTGGCTTAAGATTCAGTTTGCTTTCATCGTGTTTCATACAACACTATTCATTTCTGGAACTTTGTACACATCCAACAATTAAATCAACACAACCACATATATATTTTCTGGTTACAAACCTTTAATACAAATTGTTATAATTTACAGATGCATACTGAAATTTTGTTGTTTAGTTCCTCACAATAAAAAGCATAAAGTGAAAACAAATATATATATCCACGCTGAATTACAAGCTGTCCATCCGTCCATTTAACGTGCATCAAAAACGACCACTGGGGAAGGGGTTAAGGGAAAACTTCATAAAAACTTCAAGGGAATACAATCACAGATCTTACATTTATAAATTACACCAAAGCCTTGACTATAATGATTGGTCCCAAATGACATAATATCTAGATTCTGTAATCAGGATATTACAAGCAAGCTGTTCCATCAACCACTTTGCTTAATGACTCCATGGTGCCCCATCTATCTATTCTTCCCTATCAACCAATTAATGATACAGGGCATACACTAAATATAGGATATACGCATCTGAATTAATCTGTAACACTGACTGTACTAAAATGCCAGGCCAATACCACTTATTTTAGAAAATGTGCGGTTCAAGTGTTATGAAGGAATATAAACCATTACATAGCGCAGGGAAAAGTTGATATAATAGGATCACCTGTCAGCATCTGCAAATATCCATCTTCATGCCACAATGGTGAGTTTTAAGTAATTCTGTCAATTTCCTGAATTGGGACTTGTGCTAGCTGCTCTGTACTTACCTGTGATATCCCATGATTCCAATTATGCCCCCTTATCTGTAGTGCCCCTTGTAATTATGTTCCAAAGGGGCTCCTCATGAAAAAAGGAAAGGGGGAGGGGATTCAGCAAGAAGACGTCATCTTTTGACTGCATTCACTTTAACACACAGGCTAGCGTACTGGCATACTCTGTACTCGATTTCTGCTTGCAGAGTCATGAATGCACATCGCCTCATTGTAAGGACATACCACTGCTTTATATACTGGCCCTTATGTAGCAAAAAATATGCTGATAATAGATTTAAGACTGAACAAAGTCAGCCTAAAGAAATGTGTGAAAGCAGTTCCCCAGAGTCTGCTCTGGTATAATCAATGTGCTTTTAATCCGTTGAGCGAGCCCACTTAGCTGTTGATGAACTTAGCTCAGTGAAAGGATACATCGTTTTGTTCTTTTCTTGTACATTATCCTGTAACCACATTCTCTACATCTGATGGGATCTCTGGCTTTGATCTCATTTTCTGTGTGGCATTCTGAAATTAAAAAAAAGGAAAATGTTATCAAAGATAAAGAGTGGCTAATATTTGACCATGACAAGCAATACGAGTCAAGGATAACTGTATGTTACAGATATTCACTATTGGAGCATTCTGTTATTTTGGAGTTGCTCAGTGGGACATAAACATATGCTTGTTCCATAATCTAATTTTAAAAGAACTATGAGGTGAGTGCTTTTCTCTCACCTCGTAGTTCTAGCCGACCTGTGACAATGAGACTGTCACAGGTCGGCTCAGTAGATCGGGAGGTGAGCGAACACATACCGGCGTTCGCTCACCTCTCGATCCTGTCACGGCTCTCTGGGCGACAGGGGAGGGGCTGGATTCCCCCCTCCCCACTCCGATCCGCCAGAGCTGACTGGCGGAACGGACGGGTACAGCTGGCTCTGCCTCTAGATAGGCAGAGCCAGCTGTCAGTCACGCAGCTGGGCGGATCCCGGCACAATTGTCGGGATCCGTTTCAGCTGCGGTGTCTCAGTATACTGCGAGCTACAGCTCGCGGTATACTGAGCCTAGGGTGACGGTAGGACGCTAGTTTGTGTCCTCCCGTTACCCTAAGGAGAACTATGGGGAAAAGCCTTAACCCCATAGTTCTCCTTTAATGCAGGCCAGCTTTAACTAGAATTCTTTAGACAAACAGAAAACAAAGCATAAATGTGAATGTTGCACAAATTAATTTTAGCGTGATGCTGCACAGTTCAATAAACTTCTAGCAGTAAGGAAAGGAGTTGGTGCATTAAGCACATTGCATATAAATGTGTAATAATTTAAGAGAACTATGGGGTAAGTGTTTTTCCCAATAGTTCTCTTTAGGGTCACGGGAGGACATATACTAACCTCCTCCTCTGACCCAAAGCTCAGTATATCGAAAGCTACAGGTTGCGGTATACTGAGACCGACACAGCTAGGACGGATCCTGACAATGCTGTCAAGATACACCCAGCTGCGTGAATGACAGCTGGCTCTGCCTATCTAGAGGCAGAGCTAGCTGTACCCACCTCCTCGCCGTCCGTTCCTCCAGTCAGCGCTGGAGGATTGGGGAGGGGAGAATCCCTGTGGGGAGCAGTGACTGACAGTCACCGCTCTATGCAGGGAGAAGATCGAGAAGTGAGAGTGACGGTATGCGTTCGCTCACTTCCCGATCTATTGAGCCGACGTGTGACAGTGTAATTGTCACATGTAGGCTCAAACTATGATGATGACTGATTTTCACTCACCTCATAGTTCTCTTCTAAAGGTTTAGTTTACCTCTCTGACTATGTTTCATGTTACACCCATATTTAGGAAGTCTGCCGAGGAATAAGGTCCCATTCACTCACAAAATCGTGTGCAAAGTGCATGTCTCGATTGTGGTGCCAGTCATTGTTAATGGCACCCCAAACACTACAACTAGGTTAAGTGAATTGCTCACTAAGCGAGGCAATCAGCTCTAATGTACAGCACAGTATACAATATCAACCGTTTGCAGAGCTGGTCGTAAGTTCGAATGGTCAATTACTTAGGCTTGCATATTGTGCGTCTGAATGGTCGTTAAATGGGTAGGTCATTAAAGAGGAGTAGCTGTATAGCATTTAAACAATACAGGACAGGAGGATGTGTTCTTTCCCCTACAGTCACCGATGTTCCAATATCTATCTGCTTTGCACTCTTGATTATGTGACATCCCTTCACCATCACTAATATAACCAAACAGTGTTCCTTACCTCCACAAATATAGATCATAGGCTGCTGCTTGGGAGGCGGAGCGTCCTTAGAGGCTTCCATTCTGCCGTCCTAAAACATTATAATAGATGATCATTGTGTACAATCATCACACAAAACACAGCCCGACCAACTCCTAACAGTAAAAGCAACACAATGACACCCCTACAATCTATAAATAATCACCACCTACCACACAACAGGCGCACGACTGTCACAACACACCAATGTGCTCCGCATACACTCGGAGCCGCACACTGCTGACGTCACTACGAAGCGCCGCAACGTGATTTTCCCCATAGCAGTGCGGAAGGGCGTGCGCTGCCATCTTTGTTTTGGGCACCGGCATTCTGTGCCAGTGAGTGGTGTGCCTGTAGTAGATGTGTGGAAATGATTGCTGTTATATGTTTTTAGATTTGTATTACCATGACACTTGTAAAAAATGTAATCTTACTGCAGTGGAGGAAAAAATATCCGGCTACAATAAGGACTGTCTGAGTAATGTTTACTGTCACATTCAGTTATTTATATACTCAGCTACATGAAAATTGATGTCACAATTCTGATATTAGTTCTATCGTCAGCTACATGTACATAAAGTTTCTAACATTTTAAAATAATTTTCAGGGACTTTTATTGCCGATCTTGCAAAATGACACAGAACACCGTATTCCTAAATGTGTCATGTTATTACTGTTTGTAATTTTGACTTCAATTTTAAAGGAATAATGACCATTAACTCCCAATGGAATGTCCCAAGTCCCACAATTTCCCAGCCAGTAAGGATGAGCTCAGTCTAAACCTGGAAGGACCAAACCTAGTCTAAACCTGGAAGGAAGCTCCGTCTGCTGTCACCCAATCAGCTGTGGCCATTCTGCACCCCTTTGCTGAACATAAATAAATGGGCAGGATGCTTGTGCTGACATCATTGACCTTACATGGCCACATATTTGTTCAGGGTTTTTGACCATATATAGCCATGTGGCCATATAAGGTCAATGACACCACAGCATCCCACCCCTTTGCTTACAAGCAGGCAGCTGCAGGTGGGGATTTCCCGGCCATAGCTGATTGGTCGGCAGTGGAAAGAGCTTACTTGCAGGCTCGGACTGGGTTCGGTCCAAACCTGAGCTCATCTCTTGCGGCTGGTAGACAAGCTCTATAGGAGTAAGAGGCTCTTCTGTTCAGGTGCGGCCAGCAAAGAAAAAAAAGTCAGGGTGGGATGCAAGCAAATGCGGGAGGCCTGGGCACTGGATCTCAGAAAGTATGATTCAGGTCAGGTAAGTGTTCAATGTGCACCAGTGAGGTTTTTTTCCCCCCACCACCAGTTGACCATCAATAATGCTGCTACTGACAATAATGGCGTAGGGGTTACCACCAATGATTAGAGGGGTCACTGCACGTGTGGGCGCATTTATGGGTGTAACATGAAACTTGGTCAGAAAGGTAAACTTAGTCTTTAAGAAATTTAATTTACCTTCTGCGGTCCTTTCTAAAACTATGAAGTGCAGGTGCATTGGTAGACACTGTATATGTGCATTGAGATGCCATTGGGAATGTACTATGAGGAGAATTTATCAAAACTGGAGCAGTCAAAATCTGGAGCAGTTGCCCATAGTAACCAATCAGCTTCTCTCTTCTGTTTGTTCAGATAAGCTTTGAAAATGAAGAGAGAAGCTGATTGGTTGCACAGCTGCTCCAGATTTTGTCTGCTCCAGTTTTGATAAATACCCCTCATATGAGTTTTGTTTGTACAGCACAGAAAGCGTTTGGGACAGCAGTCAGGAGGTAGAGGATGATACTGATACTGACACAGAAGAGGGACTGCAGGCTGAGGCTTGTGCAGAGGATGAGGATCAAGTGGTACCTCATGCTGGTAGCAACCTAAAGATGCCTCCAGGAGACATCCAGCCAGGCCCAAGCAAACTGTTCCCAAACCTTTAGAGGCACTAGTCAGAGTTATGTGGTCCCTAGCGGTCAAATATGAGGGCAGTATGTCTAATGTTGGTTATTCTGCTATAAGCCTGGTTGGCGTTTTCCAAAAGTATCTGAGGAGTCACAAGAAGACATGAAGAATGCAGTCTTGAACCTAGCTGCCTCTGCTTTACTACTAGCCAAAGTAAATGCTCCTGTTACCCAAAGCATGGACACACCTTGCTGCAGCATACTCACCACCTTCAGCACCCTCTTTGTTATCCTACTCAAACCCCCAGTACCCCAACATCACACTTATTACCCTCATACTCAACCAACAACTCTTACCCACCCCTACGTACCTCCTACCCCCCATACTCCTACTCCTGTCATTTCTGGCACCACACATGCTTCTTACATGGAAGGCCATGGATAGACCTACTTTCAGGGTTCACAGCCCACATACCACAATTTATTGTCAATGTTGGCCCTGTGAATGATTAGAATGTTGCTCAATGTTGATGAAAACATTTCCTGTTTAGTATATCAACGCACATTGGGTTAATTTACATAATTGTTCTATATTTTGTAGTTATATATTGAGTAACTTTTACATTTAAACCAACTTAAAGCTGATATGGGTCCGGGGAGCACAGTGGGAGCAATAGTTCCAGCGATAACTGTTCTTCTCTCTTCATCTCAGGTTCACAGCCAGCTCTACCATCTTCGCTGAAGCTTCTTCTGCTGCCGACATCTTTCTCCCTTCAGTCATAGGGTGGACTGTGATCTGGCAACTCCTGTACAATGAAGTGGCATCACTCTAACACTAGGCTCCAGTCTTCCAGATCTCAAGAACGTACACGTCACCGCTTTGTTGCATAAGCGATAGAGTCCCTTCTACCAATAAACTGTGCCTACCATCATTTATGTGTTCAGTTCCGTGGTGAGGAAATGATTAAAGGTTTAGTGCTCAGACCTTTTGGTATTCATTTTAACCAAAAAAAATGCTTATTTTGACAACTATTAAATAAATACCCAACAATTACAATGTGTTACTTTATGTCTGGATAATCATAGGGTTCTTTTGTGATGAGGAGCCTTTCACAGAGTGGAACTGCAGTTCTGAAAAAAAAGCAAAACTGGCTCATCGAAAGCTAGCCATACATTTTGCTGCACAGAAATTTCATATCAAGGGTCTATCCCATCATGCCCTGGCCTCTGGGAGTCATGCCTGTGGCAATGCCTTATGGGACTTGTAGTTCCACAACATCTAGAGTGCCAAGGTTGCCTACCCTTGCTTTATTCACACTGGAGAAAAGTGTGAATCCAGTCAAAGGCCCATTCACACTGAGCGACACTTACCTCGAGCGGATTTCCGCGCGGCCGGGATAGTGCGTCTGTTCGGGTGACAATCGCGCGACCTTCACCGATGGGCTGCATGCAAAAAGTGAAAAATTGCTCAAACATCTGTGGGAAAAAGCGCCCTGCACAAGCGACGCGCGACAGGCGACATGGTACTGTAAAATAGAACAGCTCCATTGAAAATCATTGGACGAGCGACTTCTCACGATATCGCGCGGCAAATATGCGCGATACCGCGGCAGAAATTGCGCGATTAAACGCTCAGTGTGAATGGGCACTAAAGTGTATCTAAACCCTAACAACAATCTTCTCTTATTTGCTCCCTATCGGTCTGTTTAATATACTGCACCACTGGAAGCAATTTGTTATATGTGATATGTGCAAAAACATGTTGGTCTTGTCAAAAATTCAGTGCTGTCCTGTGTGCTCTGCAAACTTCTTAATATTTCAAAGAGCCCTCCTAGTTCTCATATTGGACTACAGAAATGATTAGCCTTTATGTTGTAGAGATCTGAAAGTGGATGTGATTAAGTAGTTTATCAAATGACAACGGGAGGGCTAACAAATAGAGATGAGCTGGAGTTTGGTCTGAACCCAAGCTTATCTGAATCCACCACATGGCCATATTGGCTGCCTAGTGCTGTAGAGTAGGGATGAGCTTAGGTTTGAACCCGAGCTCATCCAATCCCTGTAGAATGCTGTCAGTGCCAGCCCAGTTAGCTGTGGCCGGGGCATTTCCCAACCTGTAGCTCCATTTAAACAAAAGGGGCAGGATGTTGGTTACATAATTGATATAGCCACGTGGCCATATTTGGTCAATGGCATTCTCCTAATATGGGCATGTGGCCACATAAGTTTAATGATGTCACCAGCTCCCCTGGTTTACATGCAGCTGTGGGGCAGGGAATGCCCTGACCGCAGCTGATAGGCCATGTACTGATGCCTAACTTCCGGGTTTGGATGAGCTCAGGTTCAGACCAAACTCAACCCTACTAATAACACTCAGTCCACAAACATGTTGTGTGCATTTTAAGCAGATCAATCTGTATTTTTCTGTACTTGCAGGGTCTTTACTGCGGAAATGTACTGAATATTTGTATATCTTTCCCTGACATACTCTAAAAAACCTGTGCACATTTACCATCAATGTGACACGTTGGACCTACCAACATATATGTCAGGGCGTCTCCTATGCTAATCAAAAAGACTATACCATGCTCATGTGAATCCCCCCTAGCCCCATTGCATGGGGGATGTATAAAATGTTGTAAAACTACATTCAGTTGTATTTCATGAAAAGTGAGAATTATGAAAGAATAACTCAAGGAAAATAAAAAATGTAACCTTACAGTGGAGCTACCCCGGCACTGCAAGGGTTAAGTGTTCTTCTTGCCTAGGGGACTCAAATAAAGCAGATCTACTTACCTGACCCTCAGTCCGAGGGACATTCCACAGTCGGAGAGAGAGGTGAGTGCTGACCGTCACACCTTTCAGAGGATCATGTGACTAAAACTGCTTTTTCTGAGCCCCCTAGACAAAATGAGTACTTAGGGCCGGTTCACGCCACAAAGAGTGCATTCTAGAGCGTTCAGCCTCAGGAACGCAACCCGGCCGGCTCCCTGCGTTCAGGGGCCGGAGGGGGTGTGGCGGAGCATTGAAGTCAATGGCACCGCAGTGCGATCGTCCGCACCCAAACGCGTGGCACATTAGTGCCTGCGTTCTGGTCCAGTGCGATCTGCAAAAAAGCTGCATGCTTTGCGATCTGCGTGCGTGCGATCTGCAAAAAAGCTGCACCCGCATTCGGGTGCGGGCTATCGCACTGCGGGCGTGGCTGTTGTGCCATTGACTTCAATGCACCGCCACTCCCCCTCCCACCCCTGAACGTAGGGAGCCGGCCAGGTTGCGTTCCAGAGGCCGAATGCTCTGGAACGCACTCTTTGTGGTGTGAAGCGGCCCTAAAAGAAGAAACAAATTTTTGCAACCCTTGCAGTGGCGCTATCCCCGCACTGCAAGGGTTAAAGGCTGTGACACACTGCAAGCGGAGCGGTGGTGCGCTGCCTTCATGTGCAGTGTGTCATGTAAATTTCTCTCTGGCACTTCAGCTTGCGAGAGCTCGAATAGCTGAGTGTGCCGAGATGAAAAATGTCATCTTCAGCCAAACGGCTCCCACGTATAAACCCGCTGAAGGTGCTGTCATTCATCTGCTTGCACTCAGCTCACACACTGCATGCCAAGCTCCGTGCCTTACAGCTTTGCTTCGCTCCGCACGGCTTCCTGTGCAGTGCGTCACAGGCTTAACTGTTCATTTTTGTGTAGGGATGAAAATTACAAAATTATACTCACCTGAACCTTGAAGCAGCCTGTCTCCTCCTCCGCTCCAGCAATGGTATATTCCTCATTGTCCTCACGTCATACATTCTCTAGGATGTGATGACTCACAGAATCTTAGACCGCTGGAGCAGAGGAGGAGACAGGCTGCAGGGACCGGTCTAGGAGCCTGCCATCTGCGAGGTTCAGGTACAGGTTTTATAAATTTTTGCTCCTAGATGAAAACAAGCACTTAACCCTTACTGTGCAGGGGTAGCCCCACTGCAAGGGTAAATTTTTTTAAATTTCCCCAGAGTTCTTTATTGCCCTTGGCAACCAGAGTTCATTATGTACTAGTTTGACTTCATCAGAGTGAACTGTAACTGGCTGTGCCTAAGAACTGGCACTCTCTTTAGGTGGCCATACACTGTACAACCATCGCAAGACCTTAGTCTTGCGATGGTTGTAAAGTGATTTAAAAAACGTACGATATGCCCATCTTGGACAGGCAGTTCGTACTCTCGATCATCGCAAGCCCGCCCCCCTGAGGGGCGGGCTTCCGATGACCGCAATGCTGAACGGGTAGTGTGTGCGTGTGCACACTGGCCCGTTCGGCATTTGTCTCCCGAGCACCATTCAAACGAGGCGAAAATCGTACGATTCTGGGCTGGTTTTCTAGCGTGCTCCTTAGACAAAAGACGTGCGACCATACAGTAGAAACGGTCGCACGTCTTCGTTCACACTGCTCGATTCTCGTACGATCGCGGGATTTCCTCGTACGAGAACCGAGCAGTGTATGGGCACCTTTTGTTGAAGGCAAAAAGCTTCTATCTGAGTTCCCCACTGTAGGTAACGTGTCATGAGAAAAATACATAAACTGTCATTATTGATCTTTCTTTTCTGAAGATGAAAATTGTCCGGATCATATTCTGAAAACTGGCTTCAGAGCTTCCTGAGATTCTGCCATATCTGATGTGAAAGCTCAGTGAGCCCAGCACCAAAGGAGGAACACACGGTCACAATTCCAATCTCTACATGGCATGCCATTTGTTTTTCAATATGCAAGCGGGCGTCATTCTGTAACTTTGTCAACTGTTTATTCATAATCTTGAGAAACCATAAACACCGAACTTCCACCTTATCACAGGGTTAACAATTTCCACTTTCCTCCCAAAGAAAAGACAGATTGAAGGACGGCCTTTTATCACCAGCACAGCTCTTGCCAGATTGGACACCTGCTGCAAGCAGTCAATCATCCCAACCTAATCAATAGACTAGGATCTACCAATAAAAATCATGTGAATGTGTCATGTGACTTAGAAATCCAACAAGTGTGAACTACCATTGATCCAACAAGTTACCCGCTTAAGCTCCTGGCTTTACCATGCTTGTAGTCTAAGGGGAATAAAAATCCATTTGGTTTTCTGGAGAAGTCTGGAAGGGACATGACCTCCATGATTACACAGGTGGAGTACCTTATCAAGGCTTTATGTTTGCTCTTATTGAATGGTTTTAACGTATTTCCAATGAGGCTGAAAACTGCTATTTGTTCAGAGAGCTGAAATTTACCTTCATCTCATCATATAAGTCAATGCATTGAAAGGCCAATGCTGGCCATAGAATGTTGGTGGATTCTCCCTGTTGGTGCCGCTTGGCTTGACATAAGTTGACTTTAAAGATGGACTTGGCTGGGTAAGAAATTATGGCCCCTCACAGTGACTGCGTCCTATCCTATGCAGTTGGTGTTTAGACAGCTGAGGGAGCTGTGACTGCCAAATACATTAGCCGGCTGTATAGTGTGGTTTCATCCCTGTTCAGCCCTTGGATTACCAATACTGAGATTTGGTGGCCGCATTTACTTCATTTTACAGGCTAAGAACAGTTTCAGTCTAGAGAGAAAATAAGTGTCATAACTTCCTTTTCGGGTTATCCTGAAATCACATGCAATGTTATCTGTCTTCCAAACTATCTTCTGTAAACTACAAAACCGCTCCCCATGCAATGGAAATGAAGTGCAAAAGATGTGTTTTGTAATCCAAATTGGAGAGCCTTCTAGGGTGGCCACCATCTCTCCCTACAAGGATATGGTAGAGCATGTAGCCACCAGGGACAGGAAGTGTGTTAGTCACAGGGTTATTGGGTGAAGGTAAAAAAAAAAAAAACCTAAATGGCAAAATGATTGCAGCCACCCCATCTAAGGGCCAGTAAACTGCAATTGATCAAAACTGGAGCAGGCAGAATCTGGAGCAGTTGCCCATAGTAACCAATCAGCGTCTATCTTTTCGTTTTCAAAGCTCGTCTGCACAAATTGAAACGAGAAGCTGATTGGTAGCCAGATTGCGCCTGCTTCAGTTTTGATAAATCCCCCCCCCCATTGCACTTTAATATATTGTTGGATTTGTATACATTGCCAGTGATAAAAACAAACTGTTCAGTGACACGGCTGCTGTGGTGACTTAAAGCACTGTCTTGGAGGGCTGTCATGCGGCATTGCATCAAGTCAGGGTCACCATCGGGGTGGTATGGCCGACGCACATGAAAGAGGCCTGGGCCTCGCAGCACACTGGCATAGGGTTACCACCTGTCCGGAATTCACCCGGACAGAGGCCGGACCCAAGCAGCACCGGTTCGGTGGCGGGAGAGACCGGGCCCCAGCAGCTTGTGCAGGGAAAGGGACCCCGAACTGAGACCCTGCAGAGCCCACCAGAGAGTCTCGGGTGGGCTGTGCAGGATCTTTGGTGTGCTCTGCAGGGTCACTCTCGGGTGGGTTGTGCAGGATCCATGGTGTGCTCTGCACGGTCACTCTCGGGTGGGTTGTGCAGGATCCATGGTGTGCTCTGCACGGTCACTCTCGGGTGGGTTGTGCAGGATCCATGGTGTGCTCTGCACGGTCACTCTCGGGTGGGTTGTGCAGGATCCATGGTGTGCTCTGCAAGGTCACACTCGCAGGAATCCCAACCTGAAAGAAGCCATTTCAGGGAGGTGTCCTTCTCATTTCAGGGAGGTGCCCTCTACGCCCCCCCATCCGCGGATGGGGGCAAGGGGGGCTGGGAGAGAGCACCCCCCTGAAATGATGGCAGCACAGGAAGCAATAGCTTCTTTGCTATCTGCAGGGTTTTTTTTCTGATTTTGTTTTTAGTATTCTGACAGTTGCCGCCGTCACAATATAAAAAAAAAAAAGGCATACGAATCCATAGCTAGATTCCTATTGGCTATTGCACTTTGCAATAGCCAACTAGCTATTGCACCCGCCCTCTGCTGCTTGCAATCACCAGAAGAGGACCTGATAGAAAAATTCAGGTCCCCCTCTGCTGATTGACGGCAGCAGTGGGTGGGTACATTACCTGGTTTGCTAGTGGGTATTGCAAAGTGCAATAGCCAATAGGAATCTAGCTATGGATTCGTATGCCTTTTTTTTTTTTTTTCTGACTGACAGGCCACGGCTCCCGATGTCAAAAAAAAAAAAAAAAAAAAACGATCGCAGGGAAAGGTTTATCTGCTCGGTCAAGCAGATAAACCTTTCCGGGAGGAAGTGTTTTTCTCTCCAGGGCGGCCGGGAGCCGCTATCCAATAGCGGGAGACTCCCGGAGCGTCCGGGAGAGTTGGGATGTCTGCACTCGGGTGGGTTGTGCAGGATCCATGCTGTGCTCTGCAGGGTCACACTCGGGTGGGTAGTTTGAGGCTGTGGGGAGGACCACAAGTACCAGCATGCCATTGACAGCTTTGGGGGGGGGGAAGCTAGCCATGTAGGACGTATGAGGCCTCTTGATTTCTAATGGCGGCCCTGCTTCCTGGTACTGTGCCCTGCACTCCTCTGTTTACATGGTAGATTTTATTATTCTGGAACCGCTCGCAGTGTGGTGATGATGAAGGGACGAACTCCCTCACCGCTTCATGCCATTTACAACCAGCGCCCCGCCCCCTTCTTCGAGAGCACCGATCAGAAGCCACTGGCAGATCGCGTCCACACTGCGTGCGCGCTCCCGCGGCCGAGGCGCTCGTTCCTGTGACTGACGCGCTCTCGCCAGGCAGGTGACGGTTGGGAAAAGGCGGGTGATTCGAATGTCAGTGAGGGAAAAGCTGGCTGGGGGACGCTGACAGGGGACTAGCTGTTCCCATAGCGAGTAGCCCGGGCCGGGGATTGGCGTTGCCATAGGAAAACTGGCACGTCGGTGTGACAATAATAATAAATGATTGTGAGGTGCCGGAGTTGTTGTTCTGAAGTCTATGTGACAGCAGGGTGAACTCGGCTACCTCTTATGGTGATTTATTTATGTCTATGGACCCGAACTATGAGCCTGGATGCTGGAGCTTTCTGCAAGGACTGAAGGTGACTAGGGGCGCCATGTCTGGGGGTGCTGTCATTCATTTGTGTGGACAGTGCCAGGGAGAGAGGTGGGCAGAGCTGACCCTCTATTGCCAGCTACACCAACCTGACATTGGGCTGTGTATTGGCTCATGTAGACTGCCATTCCTGCACATCTCCTTTCATTCTTTAGTCCCTATTCACACCTTTGCGCTCTGTGAACATTCATTGGAATGCGTCTAAAATGTGCAATGTGCTTGCCCTGCCATTACTTGTCAATGCACTCGCATGCATATCACCCGCCTTTTTCCAACCGTCACCTGTCTGGGAAGAGCGTGTCACCTGTTAATGGCACCCAAATGCACGGGAAACCAAAAACGCGGTATGCTGCTGGCAGAATTGGCTACATGAGCTACTTTGCAGTGCGTGCATTGAAATCCATGGGCAATATGCATGCAAATGTGATGTGCGTTCCTGGTATGCAAAGGTGTGAACGGGGGAGTAAGGGTCCCATTCACCCCTGAGAATTGCATGTGCGTTTACTGCATTATCGCATGTTTTGTGTGTGTTTGCATTAAGAAGCCTATTCAGTTTGAAATATATTACAAGGCACTACAGGTGGTCCATAGCACGCTTTTCTTAGTGAACCTTCACCCGCTTTCCATCATTTTCTTCTCTCCCACCTCTCCAGCCCA